TATACGATGACGGCCTTTTTCTTGTTGAAGATCCCTGTCGCTATTTTGCTCTATACCCTCAAGCCTAGCTCCTCCACCAGCATACCGGACATCCTCTCACCAGTCCTTCACCCCCCAACAAGCTGGAAATACAGATCATTTATGGACAATCTTTAGCACACATCAAGAGTCCAACTAGAGGAAAACTATAGCCGAATAACGGGAACTTAAACAAGTCCAAGGATGCACTAAAACCCCAGTTATCGGGAGTGGCGGATATCTAGCGGAGACTTTTCATACAGAACCAAGATGCAAGATTCCCAAGCTGTCGGGAAACTCCAGAGATTGGGCGACACAGTATCGTAAGAGGTTCTGGAAAAAAGAGGTAGGTTTCGTGGCTTGCTTACATAGCTGTCTCTCCTGATCAGTATGCGGGTGCGATTCCAGCCGGAGATCCGGGCCCGGCGTCCCCGGAAGATGCACGGGGGCTGCTTGAGCTTTCCCGGAGACATGGAATACCGAGGACGCCGGACGGCTCGAACATGCCACGGAATGGGAAGGATATCTGAGACTGACTGAGACTGAGACTGAGCGCTGTATGCTGCCGATCGTTTTATCTGCCGGTGAATCGGCCAACTCTTTCATGCAAGGCGTCGGTCGAGCATTCTACAGCAACAAACTTACTCTCAATTCTCATGCAGTCGTAATCAATCCAACTAAAACCTTTAGCTGCCGGTGACTGCACCTTATTTTTGTAGCTTCAATACGTAGTCAAGTCGGTATTGACGTATAGATCCATTGGTTTGGCGTCATTCCTTTCAACTGTTCATCTGAAATAGTTGGTGCCCCCACATGTAAGAAGAGATCAGCATGAGGAACTGAAATCTTATTGATTAATGAGGCGTACTTCTCTTGTCTCCTCAATATCGCGAAATGAGATGAGAGAATTGCTAGGATAGTCAGGCGTTATTGCTGTTGGTTCTCTTCAACTAAGTATAGCCTATCGAACAACTCCCACCGCCTATTCTTGTAACCGCCTGAACCGAATGTCGATACATGCACTCAGTGCATCTGACTGCTATATCCAGCCGATTCATGGTGCAAGATGCGCCTAGGCTAGACCTGACTCGTCCGCCCCCGGCTCCGAAGAGCGCTTTGGCTACCAATGATGCTGTGGCTAGTGGCTAACTTGACCTTGAGTCTCGCTGTGCATTACCGACCGCCCAGCCCGTCCTTGATGGGTGCTCGTGCTTGTTGAGCGGTCGATCCCCATGCATTAGAGCCATGTTTTTTGATTCCTTTGCCTCTAAACGATTAGCGATGAGACACCTGCTGAATGCAGGGTAGCAGGCATTGGCAAGGTACGACCCTTGAACTGGTCTCGGTCCATCGCTAAGAAAAACCAAATGTTGCACAACATGGAACCCCAGGGATTTCTCGGGTTTCGTCGACACTGGAGAACAGTGAAGCTCAACTGTGGTAATGTGATGTTGGGCGTTACGTAGGCCGTGGTGGCCTAGACCTCGTGGATACGAAGGTCTGGTTCAAGCAAGGGATCAGTCACGTTGTACTGTAGTATACTCAGCTCTACCGTACCGTAGCCACTAACTTAGCTGGAAACGTGGATGAAGGTCCCCATTTAGGTCGAGCGCCAGTCGCGGCGATAAGCGTTTGGACAAGACTTGATGAGGGTCGAAGGATGCTTTTAGATAGGAGAGCACGGTGATGTTGATGGTGATTGCGATGAGAAGCCATTGAACACTTGTTTAGCATGTCTCAGCTGTGTAACAGACCCAGCCAGAGCAACGCAACAGTCAATAACAAGAAAAGTTGAATAATGCACTGAATGACAAGGATGCACAGACTGAAAGAGATTGATTGACAGCAAGACCAGATGAGTCTCAGCCAGTGCTGTACTGTACTGTAAGAGTTACAGTGACAATCTTGGTGCAATAGGTGCCCCATCTGCCGTCATTGTCGGCCTCAATTGTAACTGTACCCGTAGGTTTTTCTCCTGCCTCTGCCTCGGGTTGGAAAGGGAAAATGCAAGTTTGTTCGCCCGCCCGATCGACGTCACACCCCCCGGACCCTTCTTCCAAGCCTGTGACTGCACTGTAAATACAGTGCACTTACAGGGGCCCCGCCCGTTCCAGAGACCCGTACCCAAGACCTCCACCGCTTTCGGAGCCTCGCGCAGTGAACCTGAACCCTCGACCCTTTTTCTTCGCCTCTCGTCTTGTTGATTCCGGCCTTGGACCACATCAAGACCATTCCATCCAACAAGACCTCTGCGGGTAAAAGTGGCCCGTTGAACCGCCAGGCTCCAGCCACGGATGGGAAAGCCAAGCCTAAGCCAAAAAGACGGGACAGAGAGACAAGAGACACATTGGAGGGGGTGTACGTTATGATTCCACGAGTTTCTGCCTTGTTGTCTTTGTCATTCATCATTGATCGTCTCTGCGCCTGTTGCAAACCAGGTTGGAAATACGAATTGTCTTGGAATATGTCTCTAACAAGATGCCCATCTAGAACACTCATGCGTATAGTAAGTATAGTATGGGTTGTCAATTACAGGACATACAATATATCGTACCTTATGCATATGCAGTGCATGTGTAAACGGGTGGCTGCTCCAGCTCAACGTTGTTGTAAGCTTGCTTAGGTTTCGTGCCTGTATCCGAGCAGAGAGAGCATCCAATTCCCATAATTACATACACTGTGTGACAAGGCAATGTAAACAATTTCGTTACAAGCACACGCCCTCACACCCCTGCCCCGGACATGGACCATGGTCATGGCTGTGAATGTGGTGAGAGACAGACAGACAAGAGCGACAACGTAGAGCTGGAGGCGAACCGACCGGCTTCTGGGCTCCACCAAGGCATGATTCATTCATCAGCCGCCTTGCCTCGCCTCTTGTTATAAAGACCTGGCCTGGTCCCTTTCTCAACAAGTGTTACTGTTTCTTTGCTTTGAACAATCAACAATCCATTTCTCGGTCGAGGTCGTTGCGTGAATCTTTGGTTCCATCTTCTGCTTTCCACGGTTTTCGATAGACGCCTTCACTTTATCTCCAAGTCACTATTAGACCAAACCCATCTATCCCAACTCAACCAACTTCTTACCGCTCTCTCGTCGCTCACCGTCATCTTACATACTCACCGTCTTCTACGAGTATAAACATCTGCGGCTTTCATCAAATCTTTTTACTTTCTACAACCAAACTACCAACATCATGCCTCCTAAGCGAATCCGTTGCACCGCCGCCACTTGCCGCGAGCCTGCTCAGCGCATCGTCGGCGACTGCACCTTTTGCCAAGGCCACTTCTGCGGCAAGCACCGTCTACTAGAAGACCACAAGTGCACTGGTCTCGAGGATGTAAGTTTCAACGTTGATCCATGTTGTGGACCTCGACTAACAAAACCCCCAGTGTAAGAAGCAGTCTCACGAGCGCAACGCTGCACAACTCGAGGCCGAGCGAACCCAGGTTATCCGGGGCGTGTAAATCGACCAACGAGATTCAGATTCACTATCTACCTACCTACCTTATTCTCCCACCAGATGGGTTTCGGACTGGAGGTCGGCGTCACTCCCAAAGTCCACGATGCGCAACTCTTGGCGGCCACGACGTAACGATGGGATTGGATTTCGAGACAGCATCTGCATGAGATGAGATGCAGGGCGTTAATCCGCCATTGTATATTTCTTTTTCTCAGTTGAGGGTGCGATGGCGTACTGGATATGTCTTGGGGACATAGTTCTCCCTTATTTCTAGCGGGGTCTGCATTAAATCAATTCTTTCTTCACTTATCCATTGCATGAAATGTGTTCATCATTGATTGAGTCGTGCGAATACTTGGAATATGGCGATCATTGAACGAATTCGTTCAAACCGACATGCGCAGAAGCGGTGACATTGCTTGACTCAGAATGGACTGACGATCGGTAGTCTTGGCTTTGATTACGTGTTGCTCGAGCCTGGCCGTGTTGGATGCGACTTTGCGAAAAGCGAAAGGAGACCCTGCTGTATTTCGCCGGCTTATCTCCGATATCGTATCGGGATGCAGCGTTGATCTCGTGAGCATCCGTCTGGGTCGTTTACTCGATAGCGCCATCGAGGCTAGACCACGAGAGTCCTTTGTGAAAAGACTAATCATTAAATAACGGCGGACAATAGGGTATCAATGGGTATCAATGCACCCCAAAGATGCTCTTTCAGATGTCACTTCTCAGCGCTAACCTTCACAAGGCCTCATACACGTGGTCAAATCGTCTCCTGCCAGCAACTTCTGTAGCCAACTCGATCCTGGGGATTTATTATGGGGGTGGTTGGTTCCGGGGGCGGGGCCGAGGATGGGGGTCAATCATCGAATGTCAGTGAGAGGTGAGAGGTCCTCATCATGCAATATCACCCTCCTCTTTCACAATGTCTTGTGAAACCTCCGTCTTGACTACTGCACCATTTTGAGCCTCCAGTTCTAGACCCTCGGCTTTGATCTTTCGACCTGCCGACACTTTTGCTCGATCCGCAGCCTTGCATAGTCCTTCTAGGCCAAGATCGCATTCGCCGCATTTGCGCCCAACAGGTAAACATACTGACTGTCCCAATCCTACAAGAAGATGATTGATTTCGTGCCATCGGTCTTGTGGTAGCCATGACTGGAGAGTCGTACGAGTCTCCTCTGGGTTCTTGGTTTTGTGCCAACCCCAGAGGTTCGTGATACGGTGTACATGTACATCAACACCAATCCCCAGATGCTTTCCCCATGCTACCGACAAACACAGATAGCCCATCTTGGGACCGACGCCTGGTAGTGATACGAGGCCCTCGATCGTGTCAGGGATATCGCCGTCCCATTGATCGCGGAGGATCTCGGCCGTCTGCTTGATATACCTGCATGAAAGTCAGCCAAACCTTGGTCCTTGACAATATATGCCGATGGCGGTAGCACAAACTTTGTCTTATTGTTGTGAAAGCCAACAGCCCAGATGAATTCATTCAGAATCTTGGGATCGATCGCCAGAACGTTATTTAGGTTTAGACCTGGAGGCGCACCCGGCTCAAACGGTGGCAGCTCAGTTTGTAGTTTTCTCATGACAACGGCATTTACCGTGTCTTTTGTCTGACTCGACAGCATGAGCGCCACCAATGTATGAAACCTTTGATCTTTCGGCGATGCGTTTTTGTCTGCCAAGCGTTCGCAACCCATTGTGTCAACGGCCGCACCGTGGGCTCGTCCGCCCGGCGCCCTCATCTTTCTGACAGTATCATACATTTCCTCCCAACCCGACGGCGGTTCTATCTTTATGGTGCCGGTCGTCGCATCGGTAGCTTTGCGGGCGGGCTTGCGAACGCGGCGCGCCCTTGCTGGGGGTGATGGGATGGCATCGAGGTCTTCGTCAACAGGTTCGGACTTGACGGCTTGAGGAGATGTTGCGACTTCCGTCTTGACCGCCGTAGCTCGTTTTCGTTTTCGAATAGGACCTCCAATATCTTCGATGTCGCCGACTGCAGGTTTGGTCTCTTCTGTCGATGCGAAAGCGAATTTCGCCAAGGCAGATCTTGTAACTCGTCTCGGTGGTGAGGATGATTCTTTTACGCGATCGAATAGCTTCGAGGTGTCTTTTGATATTCTTGACGAGCGCATTCTGTCAGATTCTCGGTATTCCGATTGTTGAACTGGGATATTGTAGATTATCTTCCAGTCGCGACTCGTCATGGAACCCCTTAGGCAAATGACATCGAGTGGATTACCAAACGGCCCCACTCTAGTAGACGATGGACATATGCAGTGGAGATACCCCGGATTTCAAGTAGAGTCTGCTTAAGCTATTATGCAAGACTAAAGATATGCTAAATAAGTCAATTGATCGGTCAACTATTAGATCGTTTGAGTTATTAATGAATTTGCAATCGAATGAATAAATTCCGAGAAACCGACGGAGTGCTTGCAACCCTCTTAGAACCTGCTATGTGATGTCCGAATCGACTATTGATGAGCTCCCAGGTAGGTATCTTGAGAATCGAGTATCATGACCATCAAGGTGCTGTGTAAGTCTTGACGCAGCCAAAGGCTCATATGTTGCCTGTTGTAATATCATTAGCTCTAGTCACTAGTTATTCAATACCTAGAGGACTGTACGGATAGTCTAAATTACATCCTTGTCGTTTTCTATTCCACTTTCACTGGCTTATATTTGGACGGGACTTACACGCAAACTGAACATCCATAGCTTCATATAACACCTCATGAATATCAGCGGGCCGTAGGTACGGATCCCATACAACACTGTATCAATTACACCGGTCATATTGCGTTGAATTGTCTATCAAGGTTCTCAGGACTGTCACATATTAATAGCAGCTCGCCGACGCAATTTGAGGAAACTGGTTTTGTCATTCAACATAAAATTTTGATTATCATTCATTTATACTACATTTTAGGTCATTAAATCTTGGGCTCGAGCTTCTGCATGTCGACGACAGCACGGATGCAGTCACCCTGCTTCATTGTCTCAAAGGCGTTGTTGATCTCGCCGAGAGTCTTGCGGTGGGTGATGAACTCGTCGACCTTGAGGTCACCCTTCTTGTAGTCGGCAACGAGCTCGTTCAGTTGAGAACGGCCCTTGACACCACCGAAAGCACATCCTCGCCACACTCGGCCGGTAACAAGCTGGAATGGTCGGGTGGAGATCTCCTGGCCAGCGGCAGCAACACCGATGACGATGGACTCACCCCAACCCTTGTGGCAGGCCTCGAGGGCAGCACGCATGACACCAACGTTACCAGTGCAGTCGAAGGTGTAGTCGCAACCACCGTCGGTCATCTCAATAAGCTTGTCCTGGATGGACTGGTCACCGAGCTCGGTGGGGTTCACGAAGTGAGTAGCACCGAACTTGTCACCCCACTCCTTCTTGGATGGGTTGACGTCGACAACAATGATCTTGCCAGCCTTGCGAGCGGCAGCACCCTGGACGACTGAGAGACCGACGCAGCCAGCACCGAAGATAGCAACGTTGTCACCCTCCTGGACGTTGGCGGTGATGGTAGCAGCACCGTAACCGGTGGTGATACCGCAACCGAGAAGGCAGGTTCGGTCCATGGGAGCATCGTGCTCAATGGCAACGACGGAGATATCGGCGACGACGGTGTACTGGGAGAAGGTGGAGGTTCCCATGAAGTGGAGGAGATCCTTGCCCTTGCACTTGAATCGAGAGGTGCCGTCGGGCATCAGACCCTTACCCTGGGTGGCTCGGATCTTGCCGCAAAGGTTGGTCTTTCCGGACTTGCAGAACTTGCACTCCTTGCACTCAGGGGTGCTGTTGGGAAACTGGTTAGATGATGCGAGAATGGTCGAGGTAAGAATAAGACGTACTAAAGAGCGACGACGTGGTCGCCAGGCTTGACGTTGGTGACGCCCTCACCAATGGACTCAACGATACCAGCGCCCTCGTGACCGAGGACAATAGGGAAAGCACCCTCGGGATCCTTGCCGGAGAGTGTGTAGGCATCTGGTAAGCATTAGTTGTCTGTCTACGGAGCTTTGACAGCTTGATGACGCGGGTAAAAGAACATACCTGTGTGGCAAACACCAGTGTAGTAGATCTGAATTCGGACCTCGTTGGCCCTGGGGGGAGCGACCTCGATATCCTCAATGGAGAGAGGCTTGCCGGCCTCCCAGGCAACGGCGGCCTTACAAGTAATGGGCTGGCAATGGCATCAGTATTCTGTTCCCAAAGGTTTCGCATCATCATGCACAGCGGGGCTTCTGTGATGGTGAGGGGTAGGGAGAGAAGAAGAGAGAGCTTGCTAATGTAACATACCTTGCCAACGGTAGACATTATGATGGTGTTGTGAGGTGGGATGGAGATTGTATGTCGAAGAAGGAAAGAAGAATGGTATAACAGACAGGAAGACAAACAATTTAAAGGGGATGATGGGGCTTTAGAAGGTTGAATGGAAGCTTGACCCGTTTCCAGGAAACTGTTTATGTAGGCATAGAAAAGAGTAGGGAACCCGCCCGCGTTCAGATCCCGATCACCGAGCTACTCCGGTGCGTGGTTGCGTACCCCGCAATTGGAGCTCAAATCCACATCCGGACTGAGATAGGTAACCTGAGGCGGCTTCGGACATGAGATTATCGCTCATTGGGCCTATGACGCTCCGTTTGCCTCTGTTTACGTGAGAAATATGGTGCGGAGAGGCTTGCTGGGCGTGCCAAGGTTCTGCGCCATTGGTGTCGAGGCCGAAATAATTGGTAAAGATAGCCAAACAACCTCACGGACGAGACACTGAGGAGAGACAAAAGCGGGGTCTTCCATCACTTCCTTCGGCAGATGAGACCGATCCGGCCGTCGGCGGTTCATTCAGCGCCGGCCAGTGAGTCAAGATGAGAGGCTCTCATTGCTTCACGGGGTCGGAAGACCTCCCGTACAACTCCGTGCCCACTGCCATTTGGCTGTTGGTGATCACGTTAATTGTCTTCAAGTTGAGGTTAAAGCGGACCTAGAGCCGAGTCTTCGGGAGAAGAAGATAAGAGATTCTCTTAGAACATCTCGAGAATGTCACAAGAAGCAACACACATGCTTCCCATGCAAGCATCGCGGACGACCTAACTCCACCATCCGTGGATGTTCTCACATTATGTTCCGATTTGAATACGACCGACCTATTGCCAAGTAACATCACGGTGGTGGCTTTGCCAATGGAATTGAATAAGTATTCAATGTGGACGCTGATCATCAGAGCCTCATATTGCTAGCTGCATGGCATTTAACGAGTGAATCGGATTCACGTATACGAGTTCTGGAATAAAAGTAGGTAGAGTTTGGAGACAAACACAGCATGAACAGCGATACTTTCAAATCACCAATTGAAAACAACAATGATCCATTCGCCAAAAATCTTATTTGAATGAGCTTGGATTGCTTTGAGAACAAAGAGAAACAAATGTCATAGGCAGGGGTGACGGCGCCGGATAAACCGCGGCGCGTGTTACCCATCGCGATAGCTCCAAAAAATATCCAAAGCGCGTTCAGCTTCAGCAAACAGAAAAAGCTGTAACTCAACATTGCACCCAATTTACCATCCGTCGCATCGCCAAGAACACACTCATCGTATGCAAACATAGCGCAAAATATACCATCAATAGCGAAAGACTAGCTGTCTCGACGCGCCGAGTCGGTCGACCTAAATCTGAAGCTTGAAGAGCTCTCGCAGCATAGCTTCTTCGCATCATGGCTTTTCGATTCGTCGTGGACTCCAGCCCACCTAATAGCCCAGTACCATCGACCCCCGGCAGGTATGAGGATGATGTCGGCGAACATCCTTCGACAACTCCTGGTGGACCACCACCACCATCCTCGGCTCCCTCTTACACACCGGCCGGCGCACCATCAAGTTCTCTGTTTGGTGGCATGACCGATACTAAGCCTCTCAGCTTTGGGGTATCCAACACTGGATCCGGAAGGAATCTTTTCGGGCGGGATAGCATCTCAAGCAACCACCCACTTGGTCGGTCGATAAGAGGACGACAACCTTCGGGACTGAGTCGTCAATTTAGCGCTGCCGATGAGGAAGATGAGGACGAAGAGCAAGATGTTGAGGAGGAGATGGAGCTTCCGCCACCTCGAGGTAACCTTTTCCGAATGTCTGCGGCTCCAGATGACCGCCCACGTGAAGTCGATGCCGAGATCGAGAAATACATCGACCAGGATATTGCTGATGATGGGGAGGAGGACGAATATGAGGAGGAAGAGCCAGTGTTCGAGCGCGAAAGCTCTGAAGAGCCCGATATGTTTCTCAACATGAGACATGACGACCGACCTTACGGCCAGCCCATGATTGGAGACGAGTCCGACCTCATGGTGCTTAATACCCCGGCCGCGACAACTCGAGTGCGCAGAGAAGCAGAAAGCATCTTTAGACAAACTTCAGCCCATCTCGGCATGTCGGGCCGCCAGGAGGGTTTCCAATTCGCATCGATCGCCAAGAACTTATATAATCAATTTGATCCCGCCCAAATTGTTGAGCCTGAAGACATGATTCTCGACACCGAAGAACTCGTATGTCGACTGTACGAAGAAGGAGTTGGACCCGAAGAAGATGTTGAAAAGATGGACAACTCTCTATCCAACATCACATTCCGCCTTACTCAGTTATGGAACAGATGCGTGGACGGGCTTCCCCAACCAGAAGGAGAGGATTTCGCTTCAGTTGGCCCCGGGCTCAATACACAGCCATTTGAGAAGGCTGCTTACATTGCTCAACTGATACTCCGTATGCACCACACTCGATTCGACACCAATACCGAGGAGGAGAAGACACCGCCTTTACCCGAGATCATGTTCGATTGGATGCAGAACAGCCACAATCTCTATCCCGACCAAGTTCGCGATATCAGTCGCCACAACCCTAGCCCTGCATGCCATAGTCTATTTTGGCAGACTGTGCGATGCTCTCTGCTTCGTGGAGATGTCGGAAGTGCGTCTCAGCTCTTGAGAAACGCTGGTTGGGAGCATGTTCGACGGGGCCCTCGAGGTGAGTATGCATACATAGGCAAATCGCTCGAGAACGTCAGACGGTTCGCTGCTGCTACTGCCGACATCCTGGACCAATGTCCGGCTGTGAGATCGGAATGGGATATCTGGAATAGCAACTGGACTCTTTTCCGAATCCAGGCCCGCGGCTCTCTGAACCGAATGACTCTGTTTGCGGAAGGAAAAGAGCAGGATGTGCAAGATTTGATGGACGATGAATTCAACCCTCAACCACAATCACTATCGTCAATGGCTCGAAAGGCATCAAGCCAGATCCCCTGGGATATCTACGAAAACCTGCAGACCGTGTATGGTATCATGCTCGGAAACCATGAAGACATTATGGAAGTCGCCCAGGATTGGTGTGAGGCGACGATAGGTCTCTTCGGATGGTGGGACGACGGAAACCAACGCCATAAAGCACTTAGACTTTCGCAGTCGCAATTGCGAGCGTCGTCCCGCTTTGCTGGCTCCGAGGACTACTTTGATCGACTGGCAACTGCCTTCCATATGGTGATTCAATCAGACCTCAATCCTAATGTCATGAACCCCGTCGAGGTTGCAGTGGCCTCTGCATTTGAAGGCAACGTTAACGCCGTGCTGGGTTTCTTGAGAATATGGTCATTGCCTCTGGCATGCACCGTGGCGGAAGTTGCCTCTCTTGGTGAATGGCTACCCGCCCCTGACGTCCCCAGCTTGTTCCCTACTGATAGTCTCGATATGGACGATCTTGCGCTTCTAGGCGTGACTCAGCCAGGACCTGACGAGCTCGAAGGCATCAAAGACACAACCCTTGTCCTGTACGCTAGGGAACTGGCAGGAATAGAGCAATTGTCACCAGAGCGTGACGGATGGGAAATGGCCATTCAGGTCTTGGGTCGAATGGACTCGCCGGAGAAGTCAGAAGAAACCGTCGGCGAGCTTCTTAGGGATCTTCTCGAGACCCTCAACGAGAACTCGGGCCCGACTGTTGATAAAATCTGGGCGATACTGAACGATCTCGGCATGATCAACTACGCCGAGGAAACAGCAGAGGTAAGAAAAATCCAATCACATCACTGATCCTAGCTAACCTGAGACAGACATTTGCAGAGATTCTTTCCAAGGAGTCTCATCGCTACGGCGAGGCGCTTTGGTACTATGCACTGTCTCACCGATCGGACAAGGTTCGTGAGGTACTGAACCTACTCATGTCTTACTCGCTTGTCCAGTCTACAGTCTATCCTTCAGAGAAGGATCTTGACCATGAATTGAAGGACTTATTACGAAAGCGAACCGAGACTTTGGAGAAGCGTGCCAAGCAAGATCTGGAAGCAGCCCAGCTGCTCGGTCGAATGCTTAGTGGCTATGCTACACTACGCAAGTTTTACGAGCTCCGCGATGCTGAAGACTTCGATAACATCTCACCAACTAAAGCTTTGAAGATGAAGAAGCAGGCTGCGTCCGCGTTGGTGGCTGTCATCTCCAGCTCCGATGACAATATTCGTGGTGGACTCTATGACGAAAGCAGGGATGCAGTAGTGAGTGAGGATTTCCTCTTGGCTCTCCTGGGCGAGGCCACCGTTTTCATCAACCAGTCGCCGGCCGTTGTCACACTTTCACAAATCGATGTTCTACTCAAGGCCATTGAAGATCTTCAGACAGTTGGTGATCGAGTTTACTCAGCGTGCGATGACTTTTTCAACCTTGTGCTGGCATCTGCACAAGGCCTGAAGGGCTCTACACCGCAGGGCCTAATGGCCAAATCAACAGGTGGTCTAGGCGGAAGTTTCATGATGACCGGAAGCACCATGTTGGTGAATCACTTGCACAAGTCGATCTCCGCTGGAGCAAAGGTCAACAGAGGATGGGATTGGAGGAAGGGCTGGATTGCAACAAGCAAGGGCGAAGATGTCCTCCGAAAGTTACGATTGGGACTCGCGAAGGATTTGGCAGCCCTTTGGCTAGAAGATGCAGACGGAGCTGTCTCGTATTAGAAGGCATGTATTTGAACAAGAATGATGATCGGTTGTTTCGACCGACAAGTCTGGTTAAGGCGAATGGACGGCAGCTCTTGGTAATGGGAAGAACGAGCAAACTGCACTTGATGCTCCAATATAAAGAATATATGTGTATGATAGATAATTCACGGTTTTTAATCAGGCGTACAAGCCATTATATTTTATCTGATTCAAGACCGTTGAAGCAGAAGCGGATGATAGCGGATGACTTAGACGCTTCCCCGCCGGTGTTCGGACAAATGAGGCCCCACATCCCCCGGATCTAAAGTCTCGATCTCCAATCCGCTGCCGTGAATTGACAATTGGCTAAAAAATTCCACCCCGATCTCGCCCCCACCAATGAGTTACACCAAACGGACAAGGGAACTGCATTTTATTTCAACATTGGAAGGAGAACCCGAAAACTTATCCTTCATAGTCGCCGTGTATCGCCCAACATGGTTTCAATGGAGGTTGCCAGCCGCTCAGGCGGTGCCATGACGGTAAGTGATTACCTCCAACACAACTTCTATCTCAATTGGCCCTCCGGTGTAATACAACAACGAAATCATTGTGACTGACTCAACTTGTATAGCAATTGCTGCGACGCTCTGGTCCTAACGCTATCCGATCGACTGCCGTTCTTTCTTCCAACAAGAACTCACGAAGGAACTTTTCTACCGCCAAGTCCCTCCCACCCACCTACGAGAAGCTCTACACCAAGTACACTGATGTTCGTCGTGTGCTCGGCAAGCAGCGTTTGACTCTCGCTGAGAAGATCCTCTACAGCCATCTCGACAACCCCGAGGAGTCCCTGCTCAGCAACACTGAGAATGGACGAGACATCCGTGGCAAGGCCAACCTGCGCCTCAACCCTGACCGTGTCAACATGCAGGACGCTTCCGCCCAGATGGCTATTCTTCAGTTCATGTCCTGTAACCTCGCCAAGCCTGCTATTCCCGCAAGCATTCACTGTGACCACTTGATTGTTGGATCTAAGGGTGCTGAAGATGATTTGTCCGCTGGTATTCAGACTAACAAGGAGGTTTTTGACTTCCTTGAGTCTGCGGCGCGCAAGTACGGAATGGACTTCTGGCCTCCCGGAGCTGGTATCATTCATCAGACTGTTCTTGAGAACTACGCCCTTCCTGGATTGATGATGCTTGGTACCGATTCTCACAGCCCCAACGCTGGTGGTCTTTCTACCATTACTATCGGTGTTGGAGGTGCCGATGCTGTTGAGGCTCTTGTCGGTGCTCCTTGGGAACTTAAGGCTCCCAAGGTTCTCGGTGTGCACCTTGTTGGCAAGCTGAGTAACTGGGCCTCTCCCAAGGATGTCATTCTCCGTCTCGCTGGCCACCTTACTGTCCGTGGCGGTACAGGCTCCATCATTGAGTACTTTGGTGAGGGTGTTGACAGCCTAAGCGCAACTGGAATGGCCACTATCTGCAACATGGGGTAAGTTCAGTCTCAACAACATCGATATGAATCTTGGGCCTTACGCTAACTCGTTCCTTAGTGCTGAAGTTGGTGCCACTACCTCTATCTTCCCCTACACACAGGCTTCAGCAAGATACCTTGACTCTACTCGACGATCGCAGGCAAACAAGAACATTGAGGCTCTCGAGAGCTTTGCCAGCAACAGTTCTGACCCCGATGCTCGATGGCAGTTCAAGGCTGATGAGGGCGCCGAATATGACGACCTTATCACCATCGACCTCTCCACTCTCGAGCCTCACATTAATGGACCTTTTACTCCCGATCTGGCCACCCCCCTCTCCAAGTTCAAGGAGGTTGTTAAGGAGCAGGAATGGCCTCAAGTCCTCTCTGCTGGCCTTATCGGTAGCTGTACCAACAGTTCCTACGAGGATATGACCCGAGTCGAGAGCTTGCTCAAGGACGCCAAGCAGGCCGGTCTTAAGCCTGCTGCTGATTTCTACATCACCCCTGGAAGTGAGCAGATCCGTGCTACTCTCGAGCGTGACGGCACCCTTGAGACTTTCCAAGAGGCTGGTGGTATTGTTCTCTCTAACGCCTGTGGACCCTGTATCGGCCAGTGGAAGCGACAGGATGGCATTGAGAAGGGTACCAGCAACGCTATCTTGACCTCATACAACCGAAACTTCCGCGGTCGTAACGATGGCAACCCCGATACCATGAACTTCCTCGCTTCTCCCGAGATCGTTACTGCCATGGCTTTCGCTGGTTCTACCACCTTCAACCCTGTGACTGACAGCCTCAAGACCCCCGATGGCAAGGACTTCAAGTTCTCACCACCCCACGGTCTCGAGGGTCCCCAGACCCCTTTCGAGTCTGGCAACGCTGAGTTGGGTGTTCTGTCCCAAGCCCCTGACCCTAACGCCAAGATTGCCATCTCTCCTACCTCTGAGCGTCTGGCCTTCCTCGATCCCTTCCCTCCTTTCCCCTCATCCGACCTCTCAGGCCTTCGCGTTCTCGTCAAGGTTACCGGCAAGTGCACCACTGACACTATCTCTGCCGCTGGCCCTTGGCTCAAGTACAAGGGTCACCTGCCCAACATCAGCACCAACACCCTCAACACCGCCATCAACAAGGAGACTGGCGAGGTTAACGCCGCCTACGATCTTGACGGTTCCAAGCACACCATCCCCGAGCTTGGTCAACTCTGGAAAGACCGCGGCCAGGAGTGGCTGGTCGTTGCTGAGCACAACTATGGCGAGGGTTCTGCCCGTGAGCACGCTGCCCTGCAGCCTCGCTACCTCGGTGCCCGTGTTGTCTTGACCAAGTCATTCGCCCGTATCCACGAGACCAACCTCAAGAAGCAGGGTGTCGTCCCTCTGACTTTCGAGAACGAGGCTGATTACGACAAGATCGCTGCTGGTGACGAAGTCGCCACTGTCGGTCTTTACGAGATGCTCCAGAACGGCGGCAAGGGAGATGTGCAGCTGCGCGTCACCAAGAGCTCTGGCGAGGAGATTCTCATTCCTACCAAGCATGCCGTCACCAAGGATCAGGCTGGATTCATCCTTGCTGGTAGTGCTCTTAACTTGCTGTCCAAGGGTATTTAAGTCGAGCATCGATCACCGGTCCTCGATTCGTAGACAAGCTTTCATTTAAGGAAACCAGTTGAGGTTCTGAAATGACATGTGAAAAGTATTTAATGGTCTTTGCGCAGGCTATGGCAAAGAGATAGAGGGGCGTTTATTGGATGGGTGAAAAAATGTCTAAGCGATAGATTGTATATAACAACAAACAATACCAGTAGTCATTTGAGTCTTTCCGTGATTCCATACCGATTCAGATGAACGATATGCGTATCATACCTAGCAAGATGCAGCGAATTCTTGCCAACATCTTGAAATTAAACTGAGAATCACATGCTTACGTCGACGGAGCCAATTTGTGATGCTATTGGTGTTCTTTGTTTGTTCTTTGTAATCGTTTCTTTATCTGTTTCATCATGTACTGGAATTATCCTTCTGTTTATTTGCATGTTTGTTATCCCGCCGGAGCCTAGGGAGTTCTTTCGAAACTCCTATATTGCTCGATGCCATCAAACATCAGTGCCGTTAATTCCCTCTACAGAGCTGTTGAAAAAAGCGCTCTGCTTCTTTGGTCGACTTGTCGACATGGCGCTTACGCACAGCCGCCATTGCCTCGCACTCTCGGAACCAGGCACAGGCCTTAAGCCATGCAGGGTTACTGCGTACATAGTCCGGTAGTTCTTCCTCAGGAACATCTCCAAAATCCAAGACTTTCTTGGCGGCTCGGGGTTCTGGTGGCTTAAAAGGAGGTACGTATTCAGCATTCTCGGGGTTTTGGGAATTACCCTCCACCTTGCTTGCCTCGGCGAGTAACCATCGTTTTCTCGCCATGAATTTACCAAACCAGGCCTTACGGCGGGGGCGTCTTCTGATCTCTTCACACTTCCTTTTATACCAATGCTGTGATCGGTTATGCAACCTGTGAATTGCAGGGTTCACAGGCAGAAAGACCTGTTTGCCTTTGTATAGGGGTAGCCCTTTCTGGACGATGCGAGAAAATAGTTTAATCCCGGGAGGTGGACGTAGGCGGGATTGTCGGTATATTATTGAATCAAAATAGATCGGGTTATGGGCGGTCGGATCAAAAGTGATCAAATTGGAACGAGACCTCTTTGTCTTTGTACGCACGTTTTTGGAAATCCCCTTTTGTGAGCCAAACACTTGCGAATTCCCTAACTCCCTGGCAGACGGCGGTTTTGACAAACCGTCCGGCAGCCCCTGCGCTGTTGCATGAGGTTTTCCATGAGAGATCGATGGAGAGGCCGACCTATCTCTCTTCGCATTTATTCTCGCTTTGTCTATAGAGGATGCGTCTGGCCCCATGATTGCAATGTGTGCCTTTGGTTGTCTGTGTTTGCGTGGCCCTTTAAGCGGCT